GAATGAGCAAGGCGGATAGGCATGCGCAAGGGCGAAAGGAATGAGCGAGGCGGATAGGCATGGGCAAGGGGGAAAGGAATGAGCAAGGCGGATAGGCATGGGCAAGGGGGAAAGGAATGAGCAAGGCGGATAGGCATGGGCAAGGGGGAAAGGAATGAGCAAGGCGGATAGGCATGGGCAAGGGGGAAAGGAATGAGCAAGGCGGATAGGCATGAGCAAGGGCGAAAGGAATGAGCAAGGCGGATAGGCATGGGCAAGGGGGAAAGGAATGAGCAAGGCGGATAGGCATGGGCAAGGGGGAAAGGAATGAGCAAGGCGGATAGGCGTGGGCAAGGGGGAAAGGAATGAGCAAGGCGGATAGGCATGGGCAAGGGGGAAAGGAATGAGCAAGGCGGATAGGCATGGGCAAGGGGGAAAGGAATGAGCAAGGCGGATAGGCATGGGCAAGGGGGAAAGGAATGAGCAAGGCGGATAGGCATGGGCAAGGGGGAAAGGAATGAGCAAGGCGGATAGGCATGAGCAAGGGCGAAAGGAATGAGCAAGGCGGATAGGCATGGGCAAGGGGGAAAGGAATGAGCAAGGCGGATAGGCATGGGCAAGGGGGAAAGGAATGAGCAAGGCGGATAGGCATGGGCAAGGGGGAAAGGAATGAGCAAGGCGGATAGGCATGGGCAAGGGGGAAAGGAATGAGCAAGGCGGATAGGCATGGGCAAGGGGGAAAGGAATGAGCAAGGCGGATAGGCATGAGCAAGGGCGAAAGGAATGAGCAAGGCGGATAGGCATGGGCAAGGGGGAAAGGAATGAGCAAGGCGGATAGGCATGGGCAAGGGGGAAAGGAATGAGCAAGGCGGATAGGCATGGGCAAGGGGGAAAGGAATGAGCAAGGCGGATAGGAATGGGCAAGGGGGAAAGGAATGAGCAAGGCGGATAGGCATGGGCAAGGGGGAAAGGAATGAGCAAGGCGGATAGGCATGGGCAAGGGGGAAAGGAATGAGCAAGGCGGATAGGCATGAGCAAGGGCGAAAGGAATGAGCAAGGCGGATAGGCATGGGCAAGGGGGAAAGGAATGAGCAAGGCGGATAGGCATGGGCAAGGGGGAAAGGAATGAGCAAGGCGGGCATGAGCAAGGGCGAAAGGAATGAGCAAGGCGGATAGGCATGGGCAAGGGGGAAAGGAATGAGCAAGGCGGATAGGCATGGGCAAGGGGGAAAGGAATGAGCAAGGCGGATAGGCATGAGCAAGGGCGAAAGGAATGAGCAAGGCGGATAGGCATGGGCAAGGGCGAAAGGAATGAGCAAGGCGGATAGGCATGGGCAAGGGGGAAAGGAATGAGCAAGGCGGATAGGCATGGGCAAGGGGGAAAGGAATGAGCAAGGCGGATAGGCATGGGCAAGGGGGAAAGGAATGAGCAAGGCGGATAGGCATGAGCAAGGGCGAAAGGAATGAGCATGGCGGATAGGCATGGGCAAGGGGGAAAGGAATGAGCAAGGCGGATAGGCATGGGCAAGGGGGAAAGGAATGAGCAAGGCGGATAGGCATGGGCAAGGGGGAAAGGAATGAGCAAGGCGGATAGGCATGAGCAAGGGCGAAAAGAATGAGCAAGGCGGATAGGCATGGGCAAGGGCGAAAGGAATGAGCAAGGCGGATAGGCATGGGCAAGGGGGAAAGGAATGAGCAAGGCGGATAGGCATGGGCAAGGGGGAAAGGAATGAGCAAGGCGGATAGGCATGCGCAAGGGCGAAAGGAATGAGCGAGGCGGATAGGCATGGGCAAGGGGGAAAGGAATGAGCAAGGCGGATAGGCATGGGCAAGGGGGAAAGGAATGAGCAAGGCGGATAGGCATGGGCAAGGGGGAAAGGAATGAGCAAGGCGGATAGGCATGGGCAAGGGGGAAAGGAATGAGCAAGGCGGATAGGCATGAGCAAGGGCGAAAGGAATGAGCAAGGCGGATAGGCATGGGCAAGGGGGAAAGGAATGAGCAAGGCGGATAGGCATGGGCAAGGGGGAAAGGAATGAGCAAGGCGGATAGGCGTGGGCAAGGGGGAAAGGAATGAGCAAGGCGGATAGGCATGGGCAAGGGGGAAAGGAATGAGCAAGGCGGATAGGCATGGGCAAGGGGGAAAGGAATGAGCAAGGCGGATAGGCATGGGCAAGGGGGAAAGGAATGAGCAAGGCGGATAGGCATGGGCAAGGGGGAAAGGAATGAGCAAGGCGGATAGGCATGAGCAAGGGCGAAAGGAATGAGCAAGGCGGATAGGCATGGGCAAGGGGGAAAGGAATGAGCAAGGCGGATAGGCATGGGCAAGGGGGAAAGGAATGAGCAAGGCGGATAGGCATGAGCAAGGGCGAAAGGAATGAGCAAGGCGGATAGGCATGGGCAAGGGCGAAAGGAATGAGCAAGGCGGATAGGCATGGGCAAGGGGGAAAGGAATGAGCAAGGCGGATAGGCATGGGCAAGGGGGAAAGGAATGAGCAAGGCGGATAGGCATGGGCAAGGGCGAAAGGAATGAGCAAGGCGGATAGGCATGAGCAAGGGCGAAAAGAATGAGCAAGGCGGATAGGCATGGGCAAGGGCGAAAGGAATGAGCAAGGCGGATAGGCATGGGCAAGGGGGAAAGGAATGAGCAAGGCGGATAGGCATGGGCAAGGGGGAAAGGAATGAGCAAGGCGGATAGGCATGCGCAAGGGCGAAAGGAATGAGCGAGGCGGATAGGCATGGGCAAGGGGGAAAGGAATGAGCAAGGCGGATAGGCATGGGCAAGGGGGAAAGGAATGAGCAAGGCGGATAGGCATGGGCAAGGGGGAAAGGAATGAGCAAGGCGGATAGGCATGGGCAAGGGGGAAAGGAATGAGCAAGGCGGATAGGCATGAGCAAGGGCGAAAGGAATGAGCAAGGCGGATAGGCATGGGCAAGGGGGAAAGGAATGAGCAAGGCGGATAGGCATGGGCAAGGGGGAAAGGAATGAGCAAGGCGGATAGGCGTGGGCAAGGGGGAAAGGAATGAGCAAGGCGGATAGGCATGGGCAAGGGGGAAAGGAATGAGCAAGGCGGATAGGCATGGGCAAGGGGGAAAGGAATGAGCAAGGCGGATAGGCATGGGCAAGGGGGAAAGGAATGAGCAAGGCGGATAGGCATGGGCAAGGGGGAAAGGAATGAGCAAGGCGGATAGGCATGAGCAAGGGCGAAAGGAATGAGCAAGGCGGATAGGCATGGGCAAGGGGGAAAGGAATGAGCAAGGCGGATAGGCATGGGCAAGGGGGAAAGGAATGAGCAAGGCGGATAGGCATGGGCAAGGGGGAAAGGAATGAGCAAGGCGGATAGGCATGGGCAAGGGGGAAAGGAATGAGCAAGGCGGATAGGCATGGGCAAGGGGGAAAGGAATGAGCAAGGCGGATAGGCATGAGCAAGGGCGAAAGGAATGAGCAAGGCGGATAGGCATGGGCAAGGGGGAAAGGAATGAGCAAGGCGGATAGGCATGGGCAAGGGGGAAAGGAATGAGCAAGGCGGATAGGCATGGGCAAGGGGGAAAGGAATGAGCAAGGCGGATAGGAATGGGCAAGGGGGAAAGGAATGAGCAAGGCGGATAGGCATGGGCAAGGGGGAAAGGAATGAGCAAGGCGGATAGGCATGGGCAAGGGGGAAAGGAATGAGCAAGGCGGATAGGCATGAGCAAGGGCGAAAGGAATGAGCAAGGCGGATAGGCATGGGCAAGGGGGAAAGGAATGAGCAAGGCGGATAGGCATGGGCAAGGGGGAAAGGAATGAGCAAGGCGGATAGGCATGGGCAAGGGGGAAAGGAATGAGCAAGGCGGATAGACATGGGCAAGGGGGAAAGGAATGAGCAAGGCGGATAGGCATGAGCAAGGGCGAAAGGAATGAGCAAGGCGGATAGGCATGGGCAAGGGGGAAAGGAATGAGCAAGGCGGATAGGCATGGGCAAGGGGGAAAGGAATGAGCAAGGCGGATAGGCATGGGCAAGGGGGAAAGGAATGAGCAAGGCGGATAGGCATGGGCAAGGGGGAAAGGAATGAGCAAGGCGGATAGGCATGGGCAAGGGGGAAAGGAATGAGCAAGGCGGGCATGAGCAAGGGCGAAAGGAATGAGCAAGGCGGATAGGCATGGGCAAGGGGGAAAGGAATGAGCAAGGCGGATAGGCATGGGCAAGGGGGAAAGGAATGAGCAAGGCGGATAGGCATGGGCAAGGGGGAAAGGAATGAGCAAGGCGGATAGGCATGGGCAAGGGGGAAAGGAATGAGCAAGGCGGATAGGCATGGGCAAGGGAGAAAAGAATGAGCAAGGCGGATAGGCATGGGCAAGGGGGAAAGGAATGAGCAAGGCGGATAGGCATGGGCAAGGGGGAAAGGAATGAGCAAGGCGGATAGGCATGGGCAAGGGGGAAAGGAATGAGCAAGGCGGGAAGGCATGGGCAAGGGGGAAAGGAATGAGCAAGGCGGATAGGCATGGGCAAGGGGGAAAGGAATGAGCAAGGCTGATAGGCATGGGCAAGGGGGAAAGGAACGAGCAAGGCGGATAGACATGGGCAAGGGGGAAAGGAATGAGCAAGGCGGATAGGCATGGGCAAGGGGGAAAGGAATGAGCAAGGCTGATAGGCATGGGCAAGGGGGAAAGGAATGAGCAAGGCGGATAGGCATGGGCAAGGGGGAAAGGAATGAGCAAGGCGGATAGGCATGGGCAAAGGGGAAAGGAATGAGCAAGGCTGATAGGCATGGGCAAGGGGGAAAGGAATGAGCAAGGCGGATAGGCATGGGCAAGGGGGAAAGGAATGAGCAAGGCGGATAGGCATGGGCAAGGGGGAAAGGAATGAGCAAGGCTGATAGGCATGGGCAAGGGGGAAAGGAATGAGCAAGGCGGATAGGCATGGGCAAGGGGGAAAGGAATGAGCAAGGCTGATAGGCATGGGCAAGGGGGAAAGGAATGAGCAAGGCGGATAGGCATTGGCAAGGGGGAAAGGCATAGGCAAAGGGGGAACTGCACGCTCACCTGCTCCGCCTGCAGCATGCTCGTGGCTGCTGTCCGCGCAGCCAGCAGAGCGCGCGGCGCTGCCTGGTGGGCGAGGTGGACGCTGGCACTGCGGTTGGAGCGGCGCGTGGGCGCTGTGACGTTGGAGCCTGTCGGTCATGCACAGGGAGGGGAGGGAGGTGCACAGGGGAGGGAAGGGTAGAGGGGAGAGCGGAGGAAGAGATGGAGGGGGAGAGCAACGCGGATCCAGGAAAGGCAAGAGACAGGGAGGCGCATGCAGTTATAGAGCGCGCACATGCAGTTTTCCGCAGTCGCACGGCGCACATGCACATGCGTGCAGACGCATGGCGCTCATGCAGTCGAATGGCGCTCATGCAGTCGCAAGGCGCACATGCAGTCGCATGGCGCACATGCAGTCGCATTGCGCTCATGCAGTCGCATGGCGCACATGCAGTCGCATTGCTCACATGCAGTCGCATGGCGCACATGCAGTCGCATTGCGCACACGCAGTCGCATGGCGCACATGCAGTCGCATCGCGCGCATGCAGTCGCATGGCGCGCATGCAGTCGCATCGCGCGCATGCTGTCGCATGGCGCGCATGCAGTCGCATCGCACGCATGCAGTCGCATGGCGCGCATGCAGTCGCATCGCGCGCATACAGTCGCATGCAGTCGCATAGCGCACATGCAGTCTAGCGGCGCGCTCGTGAATTCATTGCGCGCGCACATGCAGTGAGAGACGAGCCCGCATCTAGTACGATAGCAGATGAGAGACGAGTGCGGATTGAGGGCCTGTACGGATGAGAGACGAGCGCGGATGAGCGGGGTGCGCGGATGAGATTTCGAGCGCGGATGAGTGACGAGAGCGAATGAGATTTTACGCGCGGATGACGCGAAGAGCGGGTATGCGATTTTGAGCGTGGACGAGCCGTGAGCGCGGGTTTTCTAAGATCGCAGGTGAGCGCGGGGGATGGATGAGCGACGAGCGTGGGTGTGCGACGTGCTGAATGCAAACGACATGAGAGCGGGGGGACGATGAGAACGGTCTGGTGGTGCACGGAGAGTGTACAATGGCAAAGCACTTTCCCCGCCCACACGCCCTAGGCTGTCTGGGTATCGCGTCACGCCTGCCGCAGCAGTACACACCTACGATGGCTTCTAGTTATGACTGTTGCGAGGCGCCGAGAGAACGTTGATGCTTCACACGTACGTCACCATTGAGTCTACGCGATTTTAGTAAGCCTGGTCGTAGCCCTAATCTAAGCAATTATCATTCCTAGACGGATATAGGAGGGCGTTTAGGAGTGAGTGGTCTAAGCGCTGATTAGTAATCTTGCTTGGATCACATGAAGTGTGTTGCCCCTTCCCTATGGCTTTCCTCGGTGGTTGGGACTTCACAAGTCCCAAATTGCGAGGCTGTGGGCATCAAGGTGAGTATTCGGGGTCTGCCTGGTGTTTGGATCAAGGCTGCCAAGTTTCGCCCGGATCTACCCAACCAATCGCTACGGTTGGGGACAAGTGTTGTTGTCGCTCGAACTTCCGTGTCAAAGAATCGGGTAACACACTTCCGAGGCCATCAAGATTACTAGTCTTGGTGGCCGCGGCTTGCAATTTGGGCCTTGAGCTTTAAACACATGCTAGTGCATTGTAAGGAATTTCCTCAACATTCCTTAGTGATTGGTATGCCGGGCGTGGGGCGTCTGGGGGTCCTGGTCGCTGCCCCTATATCATTCGCACAGGTCCTCGCGCTGGTCGCCAGTGCACAGGATTTCACACTGAGTACCGCTGCTTCGCTTGGCTCAGCGACGCCTGGCGCATCATGTTTCCTGATGATACTGAGTTCCCCAACTAAGCAGACCTGCTTAGGCATGATGTACCTATCTTTGATCTTGACTATGAGGCTATTCTTGCTGCCATGTATGCATTGACTGTTAGTGCTGAGGGTGACTGCTACTTGTGTGTGCCGCCTGACCCCGGTATAGCCCCAGGTATAGCGACAGTGGCTTTAGGTGCTTGTGAGTCTGCTCCCCCTGGTACTGCGTCCGCACAGGCCTTGCACACCTTCACGCTTGACTCTGGTGCTTCCCGCTGTTTCTTTCGCGACAGCACCACAGTCACTCCCCTCCCTGCACCTGTTCCTGTCTCACTGACTGACCCCTCTGGGGGGCCCAGTGCTTGCACGGTCTTCCACTGTGCTTCCGTGTCCGGCGGTCCCGTCTGGTGAGCTGTCTGGTCTCCACCTCCCCTCGTTCTCTACGAACTTGGTGAGCAACGCCGTCCTTCAGGATCACTGGGTTGACACATTTACTCCTGGAGGACAGCGTGTGGCGATCTGCACGTGCTCCCGGACCGGCCGTCACCTGGCCACGTTCACACGTGCGCCTGGGTCCAGTCTGTACACCCTCACCACTGCGTCGCGCTCCACCCCTTTGTCTCCCCAGCTGTATGCGTCTGCTCAGGTAGCTACCCAGTGTGAGTATCGTCGACTGTCGCACGACACTCTCCTGTGGCACCACCGCCTTGGTCACCCCTCCCTGCCTCGCCTTCGTAGCATGCACTCTCGCTTCCTGGTCTCTGGCCTTCCCAGGTCTCTGCCTGCCCTCCCTCCCTCGCCTGCGCCACCCTGCATTCCTTGCGTCGAGGGGCGGCAGCGCGCCGCTCCTCACTCCTCCTCGTTCCCTCCCACAGAGGCTCCACTGCAGACTCTCCACCTGGACGTGTGGGGTCCAGCCCGCGTCCGGGGACAGGGCCACGAGCGGTACTTCCTGTAGGTCGTTGACGACTACACGCGTTACACCACGGTCTTCCCCTTGCGCACCAAGGGTGAGGTCCCTGATGTTCTGATCCCCTGGATCCGCGCTGTTCGTCTCCAGCTCCGCGAGCGGTTCCAGTCGGACTTTCCTGTCCTGCGTCCGCACTCTGACAGAGGTGGTGAGTTCTCCTCAGACCTCTTGGCAGCCTTCTGTGCGGAGCACGGCATCCGCCAGACGTTCACGCTTCTGGCCTCTCTGCAGCAGAATGGGGTTGCTGAGCGCCGCATTGGCTTAGTCATGAGGTCGCTCGTACCTCCATGATCCATGCGGCTGCCCCCCATTTTCTGTTGTCGTTTGCGGTCCGGTACGTCGTGCATCAGCTCAACCTCTGGCCCCGTGTCTCCTTGCCGGAGACCTCGCCCAGCTGTGGACGGGGAAGGTAAGCGATGCGTCGCGTTTCCGGGTCTGGGGTGCTTGTGCCTTTGTCCGCGGACAAGCTCTCCCCTCGCGCCATTCCCTGCGTCTTCCTTGGCTTTATCCCTGATGCGCCTGGCTGGCAGTTTTACGACCCCGCCTCGCGCCTTGTCTTTCCGTCTCAGGACGTCACCTTTGACGAGTCGATTCCCTTTTACCGTCTCTTTCCCTACCGCACTGCCCCTTGCCCCCCCCCCCCCCCCCCCCCTCTTTCTCGCTCCAGGTCCTCCCCAGGTAGACCCCCTCCCCGCGCCAGGTCTTACTCCTTCAGGTGTCTCTCAAGTAGACCCTCCCGTACCTGCGCCTGTTGAGGTCACTGTTGACTCAGTTCCTACTGGGGGTGGTGTTGTCCCTGGGGTACGGAGTTTGGGTGTGCGGAGCTTGGGGTTGCGGAGCGTGGGGGTGCTGAGAATGGGGGTGCGGAGTCTGGGGGCACTGAGCCTGGGCGTGAGGAGCCTGCGGGTGCGGAGCTTGGAGGTGCTGAGCCTGCGCGTGAGGAGCCTGGAGGTCCTGAGCCTTCGGGTGCTGCGTTTGGGGGTGCTGAGCCTGCGTGTGAGGAGCTTGGGGGTGCTGAGTCTGGGGGTGCAACGCCTGAGGGATCTAAGACTGCTGTTACGCGGTCTCCTTGGAGTAGCCGCCTTCGTCCGCGTGTGCCTCTCACCTCACAGCAGTTGCATGACTGGTACGGTCGCCGTCAGGGTCGCGCTTCTGGAGCTCGGGGCTCTGCTGCTGGTGGTACTTCTGCTGACGTCACTGGAGCTGGGAGTGGTGCTGGTCCTTTGTCTACTGGAGGGGCTGGAGTCGCTGGTCCTGGAGGTGCTCGTACTGGAGGAACTAGAGCTGTTGGGGCTGGAGGTGCTGTGTCTGAGGGTGCTACTGCTGGAGACCCTGGGTCTGGGGGTGCTGCTGCTGGAGGCACTGAGGCTGGAGACCTTGGGACTGGAGGTGCCGGTTCTGGGGGTGCTGCAGCTGGTGGAGCTGGTCCTGGAGGAGCTGGCGCTGAGGGTTCTAGAGCTGCTAGAGGTGCTGGAGCTGCTGAGGGTGCTGGAGCTGCTGGAGGTGCTGGAGCTGCTGGTGCTAGTGGCACCGCACAGCCGCGCCTGTTCTTCGCTCCGCCGTCTCCGTCGTCTCAGCCACCGCCTGACTCTGCGCTTCGCCAGGTTCTCAATCTCCCTTCGTCTACTAGTCTTCCGTTACAGCCAGGCTCACCGGTGCCTGCTCCTTCTCCGTACACTGAACAGACAGGGGGCCTTGCTGAGCGTCGTGAGCCTACGTCGCGTCCTGTCTCGCCTGTCCGTTCTGGTCGTTCCGGTCGTCGTGTTCCTCGTCCGCATCAGCCGGCTGTCCCAGGCACCCGCCTTGTAGTCCGTCGTCCTTCCTCTCCTCCGCCGCGTGTTCCTCTTCCGTCTCCCCCTGCGTCCTCTCTGCCTGACGTTGCCGACCCTGAGTCTAACCAGTTTCGTACCGAGCACCCTACTGTCACGCATCTGTTAGCCACTGTTGTGTCTGACCCGTCGTTTGAGTCCACTCCTGCGTCTGCCCTAGTCGCTGAGCTTGTCAACTTTGCTGCTGCCTGTCGTTTAGACTACGCTGCTAGTCTTGTTGCTGAGTCTGAGTCTGTCTGTCCTCCGTCCGTTGGGGGTGAGTGTGCTCTTAGCACGGACGTCCTTGAGGACAGGCACGAGGACCTTGAGTGTCTTGCGGCCGCTGCGCCTCATCTCGTGGCCATGCTGCTTGCCCCAGAGGGAGACCCGGATGCACCAGACATCCCGACCCCGCACTCTTACGCTGAGGCGATCGCGGGTGAGTACTCTTCTCAGTGGCAGACAGCCATGGACGCAGAGATGGCATCCTGGAAGTCCACAGGCACGTACGTCGATGAGGTTCCTCCTCCCGGGGCGAACATCGTCCACGGCATGTG